TTGGTATGCTCTAAACTCTGGTAAATGCACCATGGGACTATTTTTTTTATAATATCAAGTGACGGAACGAACGAGTCGTGCGCCTGATGGTAAGCTACAGTTGCAGTGCCACTCAGAGCTTTCAAATGCAAAGATCTGAGGGGCACTGCCACTGCGGCCGTCACCCTGAGAGATTTTCAGATATTCATGATTATCTGAAAATCTCTACTGTGAAACAGGAGATAAGTAGCATGACAAAAGTCTATAATGACTGAATCTTACGACATGAATACAGGCTTGCACAAGCTCTGAACGAACCTCTAAGTAACAGACGATTGAAGAGGCACCACATATGGGACTATGAAAAGGAGAATTGGAAAGATCAGGCAGCCTAGCACAGGGCAGGCGAGACTAACACGCCAATAGATCACAACAAAACAACTGCTCGTGAACCACGGACCGATCGTAAATTACAAAAAGCATTATAAAGTTATTAATTTGACACAGAAAAATAAATGGTGTTACAAAATGAATTAAAAAATCAGGGGGTCGATTCAGAACCTTACGATAACTCAGTTGTCGACCGATTTGATTTCATATCGTACGATTTCTTTTCATTTTTATTCACAACACCCGAATCGAATGTCAAACTGTCGTATTCGAAACCGAACCGAAATGACGTCACACCCGTACTATTACTCGAACTTCTTCACCGGCAGCTACAAACGTTATTCAGAACACAGTTATCAAATGAAAGTTACCAAACGTCCGATTGTTTCCAAAGTAAGAATGTAAATAAGTAAAAATAAATGGAAAGATCTTATTGTTTTGAAAAAAGCCTGGATTCTATTCCATTTTATTAATTTATTTTAATGCAAGACTAATGCATTCCTATGTTTTAGGCCATTAAAGTCTTAAAAATGTTTAGAAAAGGATTTTCATTTTTCTTGTTATCTATTTCACCGACTAACTTCGCAAACGCTGTTGGATAACGATGTCGCATCCGAATCCGAACCGAATGTTTAACTCGAATGTTCTGAATAGCTCGGAAAGCGCCCTTCGATTGGAGAACGATATCCAATCGTACGATTCGGTTAAAATATCGAAGAATTCCGAATCGGGGTCCTGATTTCAGTAATTGGTAAAAACTTTTGATGAGTGTAGTTTATGCAGTCGCTTGCAACACACTATAAACAAACGGTAGAGGCATAGTTACCTTTACCATGAGATTGCGATGTGGATAGTCGCTAGCGTACAGAGGTACGGGGTCCCAGATTCTTGTACGCGTAGAGAAAGTGTCATAATAGAAAAATGTTGAAAGTCAGTTGCAGACAATTTTTGGCATTTCCAGAATTTTACGGTAGATATAAGTCGGCTCACGGCAATCGACATGCAACGAGTTGTCGGAACCAGTTGAGATCAAGATATCGCACACGAAGTCGTACTTAAGCGAAACTTACATGACACAATATTACATTAGTAGTTGTAAAATTTTTGTCCTTCGGGACAAGTTAAGGCGTCTAATTGGCCATGCTGCTAGGTCATCGACTGAAATTTTTCTTCAGTAGTGTAATTTTTTCACATTTTTTCGTAGGAAATCGTTACATCTATGCGGAGGCCATTTTGACTCATCACTCAATCACAATATTCGTTTATTTTAACTTAGAGAGTACAAACAGCTTATACTACAATATCATAGAAATCTAAATAATAATGTCGAGTTCTTAGGGTTTCGCGATTGTTACAAGTACATTTGTTTGAAAAAACAAATATACGCGATTTAAATCCGGAAAAATAGTTTCATTTCTTATAAATAATAAAGGTAACAAACAGTTCCCCGCTGTTAGAAATTGAGTTAAATAAGAAACGCATTGATTACACCGTCCGTTAAAAGACACAAAAAAATACAAAATAAAGATAAGTGATACTCTAACAGCTACATAATATTTAACCATGTTTTTTGTAAAGTTTTAATGGCCTTGGCTTAATATGCTTTTATACTTGATACCTATCAGACAGCCTTCATTTCTTTCCTGCATACGAATGATGTTACTATAATTAGCTTCATAAGTTATTTAGTTTTTTTTTTTCAAAGAGATAACAGGCTGTGAGGAATATCTTTTTCTTCATATAGGTCTTTCATCGTCGTCTTTCGACAAATTTTTTTTTTGACATTGAAATAGCACAAAACTGCGTTGTATCGTTATTTCGTCCATTACATTAAAAGTTACTAAATAACTCTTGCTAATTTATCGATTATGTTTTGAGTACAATCTATAAAAGGAATGTGCACTAATTAGTATTTCAAAATCTTGAATGTGGTTGTTCTGTATTGATATCGAGAACTATACTTATTTAGCCAATTGAGATTTTCAGTAAAATTGAGGTGAAAACATTATTTCGAAATCTAGAAAATATAGCAACGAATGTCGATTGATCCCCAGCATATCTACCATGCATTTATTGTGTTGACAGACACTTAGGGCACCTTCAAATTAGACGCTTATATAAGCACTGGAGTGGCGAAACTGTGGCGCTGCAGACGCGGCTCTACAAATTTTCAAACAATATTTAGGGTGGTATTCCAGAACTCTACTCAACGCTCAAGTCAGGACTTGAGTATGATTTAAAGCACTGAAAATAATACTCAAGTCCTTGCAATTAGAGTCGTATTTCCAGTTCTAGAATTCCAGCCCTTAGAAGTGCAACTGCAGCGTCACAGTCGAGTCACGCGCGCTCCACTTTTGTAGACTAGATATTGTATGAAAATTAGAAGTGGCGCCACTGCAGCACTTCTACAAGCGCGTAAGTAATATGAAGTAGCGATGGGCGATAGTTACTGAAAATATTCGAATTATTCGATTATAAACTTAATCGAAATAATTCGATTGTTGATATCAATTAGTTACTACATTTTTTGATTGTTGATCAAATATCGAAATAGTAATAGGATTGATTGTTTCGATTTTTTTTATAGAGGACCTTTTTTCAGACACCGAAAATTTAATTAGTAAGTATATAGCTAAAGACGACTAAATCGAAAATCGAATATAGGATAGTGCTACTATCTTTTTTTTCACCTGCTCAGAATGAGTAGCCGACTTCGAGTAGCTTACTGTTCACTATACGAATTTTCATAGTTTTATTGGTTTTCCTTACAAACTTTCAGAACCTATTTCACTCTATTTAAGATTTATCTTTATGACAAAAAGTAGCTTTCTTCTTCTCCATTCCAAAATTCATCAAATGTGATTCTGCTGTTTAGGCGTGAAAATGTAACAGACTGAGTTACTTTCGCATTTATAATGGCAGTATGTACTTGCATTCTCTTATTTAAAATTAAATAGGATTATAGTATCTCCAATTTAATTTTACCACCAACATTTATAATGTTGGGTACATTATATTATTTTTAATAAATGATATTTCATTTAAAGCCGAGTACTCACCAGCGAGCTGTAACCGTAACCGTTACATGTTATGTTTCAAAAAATCATAGTATGTACGTGGTTCGCTCGTGCGGTTCGTAGTGAGCCGACGATACTCAGGTACTTATTCTAGCGAGTAAAAACTGTTTCACGTGTACACACTAGAACCTCATTACTGTATCTGTCACGTTACAGTTACCGCTCGCTAATGAGTACCCGGCTTTATTTCATTCATAAGTAGGACTAACATTTTCTGTAGAAGTTTCCGATGACGCTAGCGATAACCGCCACTGTCAACTAATAATAAGGGTACAGTATAAGCTGTAGAGAAACCTTTTTAGGCACCGTAACTATTTTAAAATGCGTCAAACGGGATTTAATATACTCTCCGAAATAAAGTTATTCTTTTTTTATATTTGAACTGGCCGCCTATAGGCTATTATTTAAGTATTCGAAAGTATTGTTAACTATCAAACATAAAATGTAAAGTTTTATAATAACATGCCTTTTATATTTAAAAATATAAATAGAAATTAATTAAAATTTTTATTGAATTGATATTGAATTATTTTACTGGGGCTGGTAGCTATAAAGGTATCTAACTGGGTGACGAAATATCATATATTTCTCATAGATGGCGCTACGGGCAAAAAGTCGTTGAAAAACCAAATACAAAAAGACACTGGTTCGTTCCGTGGCTTAGTTGGTATAGCGCCTGCCACGGTATGTCAGAAAATGTCGGTTCGAATCCGGCCGGATCGAAGGAGTTTTTTCTGAGTGTCAATCTTTGTATAATAATTATTGAATTTAATTATTAATACAAAGATCGAACTCAAAGAAAAATTCCTTCAATCTAAGAGGAGTCGAACCAGCGTCTATTTTGCTAATCTAGGGCAAATGCTCTACCAAGTGAACTACAAATCGAGTCAGCAGACTTCACTAATTTATCTATGCGGTTGTTACAGACCTTAGTAGTAGTAGTAGTAGTTTGCCGTAGCGCCACCTCTGAGAAATCTATGGAACTTTTGTTACGATTATTATTACAAAAATCAAGCCTGAGTCTTGAACCCGCGACTATGCTGCACCATAGCATTGCTTCTTATCAACGGAGCCAAGTTACCGAGTTATCGCAATTCTCCTGTGTTTTTTGTTATAGATCTTTTTATTGGCTATCGGCATTCGTAGCCACTAGTGACATCTAGTGAGAGATTTGAAACCTTCTCACCTAAATGAAAGTTTTTCTTCAAATTTAAATACAATTTTTTTTATGAGTATCAAAATGTTTTTACTACCGTGAAGGTCATCTGTTTTTTTGAGAAAATACTTTTTTTTACAGTTTGTTATTTTTATTGATACAAAAATCAAACAAAGACGAAGAAAAATTCTTTTGATCCGAATGGACACGAACCAACGTCTAATGCCTCAACGTGTCTAGGTCCAGTAGGATTGAAGAAATTTTTCATTGTGTTCGTTTGATATTTGTATCAATACCTAATAGTTAGAAACTTACAAAACCGTGTATTATGTCACCATATTATTGAATTCAAAATGTACAAAGCCCCGAAATAACGTCTTGTTTTCTCTTGTCCTCAGTTTGTGCCTTCCCAGCACATTGGCACGGCCGCTGGTTCCAGTCGGGCGTCATCCAACCCATACTGATAGAAGGAGACCGTTTTTCTAACAAGGGGAAGTGCCTATCTTCTGAAGGAGAGAAGTTTCTTATTGTTGATGAGTAAGTATGCGACCACGAACTCGAGGACATTCATCGAACCTCTTTTTCCTTTACTGGAGACAAGATAAAGAAGCACATTTTTTAATTTGACAAGATATCTGAAGAGGCTGGTGAGGCTATATGATAGAACCTTTGCCCACTGAATGGATGGAAACATACAAAAAACCTTAATTTACCATAAATAAATTTTCTAAAGATCGCAGCATACGTAACGTGATACATATAAAAACATAGTATTCAAGAATTCGGGACGGGACGTGAAAAATATCAGCACATATATATTTTGCCCGTTCCCGTCCTGTATACTCCGACCTTTAATTTCATATTTGATTCGGTTTATATGTGTTGAAAAATAAAAAACAGTTAGCCTTTATATAGTCCCTATACTGGGCACAGGCCTGTCACAATGGGAGGGCTTGGCTTGGTAGTTCCCAAGCGGGCCTTCATTAAAGTACTTTGCAAATGTGTGCACATTACCTTACTATGTCTGCTTTCACCGAAAAGCTAATGGCAAATTGCAAATTCCGCACATAAATTCTGAAAAACTAGGATGCAATCCCGGATTAGAACCCACGGCCCTGGGCATGATAGGCGGTAAATCAAGCCATGATCTTTAGTAATTATTGTTTTGCTATTACAGGAAGGGCTGTTACCGCTGCGTTGTGATGCATGAAAAGCATAAAAATGTTTTACAATACAAAGAAAGTAAGTAAAAACTTTCAGCACTTACTTTACATGGTTACACGTGCACAAAAATTCCAAATCAAGATCTTAATCTACTTTTTCTGCTATTACTATTTCTAAATGTATAATCCGGTATACCCTCAAACAACACAAAGTAGCCCTAATTGCGGTCTCTCTTATCGCCATGAAAGTTTGGAATAAATAACACCCTATGGACTAATAATAAAATCTAAAGTATTAAAATTGTTTCAGCATTCTGCCACAGAAGAGATGCACTACCTCATCTATGTTCCCTTATAACAGGCGATGCATTGCTGTATTCGATGTTTAGAGAAAATGCTGATCCAGTGAACTGTCCTCTGAAAGGGCCATTTTCTTTTACTTACAATAGGTAAGTTTTCCTTTCCGCACCGTTTTCCTCTACTATACATATAGGAAGTTGTTCAGCACCCCTACCATATGTTTACTTATTTCTAATATTTTATTTATTTAGTTATTAAAGGACATAATTATGAACTCAAAACTAATTTTCATTAACAACAACATAATTATGATGTCAATTACAAGCTAAGCACAATGTATTAATTTAAAAATAAAATTAATTGTAGCGATAAGCTGCAATCATACAAAATCAAAATGATAATTATTCGAACCTTTTTGTAGAAAAAAATCCGACCTCAAAAGTTTGTGGAATTACATCTACTTGCTAAGTTTCACTGAAATCAGTTAACGGATAGTGCAAGAAATTCGATAAACCGGATTAATCCCCTAATTTGCCACCCTTACAGGTGGAATATTTTCTTCAAATTTGAATGGAACCACTAATAAGATACCCTCATTCCAACAAAAAAGAATCATCGAAATCGATTCACAAATATCGGAGTAATCGAGTAACATACACGCAAAAAATAAAATCGAAATGAGAACGTCCTCCTCGTTTGAAGTCGTTTAAAAAAGAAACAAAAACATAATTTGCAAACGAAACTAATATAACAATTAAAAACGTTTATTGGTAAAATTATCAAACAGATGAAGGTGAACAAATTTCTCTATTGATAATTCGCTTAAATAACTGCTTAGAATGCGATTTAGAAGCTTGAAGTTGCTAGCGGTAAACTGTAAAGCAACCCTAGCCATCGTAAGAAGAACTTTTCATCGTAGATTATTTGTACGGTTAATGCTACTAAAACTTTTTCGCCTAAGTATATTAAGAGTAAAAGCAGTAAAAGTTAGTAAAAAATTGAGCGGTGTTCAAATTAGTAAGGCAGAGCAATTTTAAAGTGAGTCTAGTATTCTTTGTATTTAAATTAACCGAGTTTTATACAAACACACTTGTTTTGCTATCTCTTGAACCGTTGATGAATATATTGAACGGTGCGTTTCTTACGTATCGATGACATACACTATAACGCTTGCCTTCGAATTGAAAGGATTTGCCAATCGGCGTAAAGTACCTATAGTTCTACTGTAAGTACTTAAGGGGTTGGATAATCAGCAAACTATATTGTAATGTTATCGGATTTCCAATGTGTGTAACAAATTTCAAGTCGATCGGACGAGTGAAAGGAAAATAAATGAATCCAAAAAATTTTTACTGAAATCCCAACATTAACCGGAGAAAAAGCTGATGATCTTTAAATAGCTGAACAAGTGTTCATCAAACATAGCTAAGAGATGATTATCCTCATTAAATTAGCCTTCAAATAAATAAAAACAGCTTTGAGATCAGTCTCATCAATTATCATTTTGGAGTTACGATGCCACAGACACACAAATCAAAGACAGATGGATACACAGACAAATACTTCAAACTTTTAACTCACTTCTTTATAAATCGAGGGTAAAAACATAAAGTCTCACCCGTACGTTATTCAGTAAATCAGATTGGTTACGACCATGCTTGGTACACGACACAACGTAAGCGCATTAATTTGTCCCAACCTTTTTTTTTTTTTTTTTTTTAACGCTCACAATCAACATAGCCCCGCACTAGGGAAACCCTGTGTCGCGGGTGCCATGGACACACAATTAGACAACCACAAATTACACCCAAACTCACGAGAGAAATAAATGTAGGCCATACAAATATTTCTCCCGGCCCGGGAATCGAACCTGGGACCTCTGCGTGGCAGTCCGGCATGGTAACCGTTCGGCCATGGAGGCAGTTTCCTTTCCCTTAATTATTTCCTTTCACTTAATTCCCTTTCCAGTAACCTTTCCTTCACAGGCTTGGCTAATTCCATGACAAAGACGAATCCCAATCCAAATTCGTGATCCAGCACTTTTGTTTAATAAGTATCGACACAGTAGTAGCTGGACAGAAAAAAACATAGATGATCAAACGTGCGTTGAGCGATGGATAAAAGAAATCCTTTAGTTAACCTTCTCCTTGTTATTAGGTGGCTTCTTACAAAAAAGGTCATCACTGCCGTTCCTATTATGTGTTAAAACTGAACCGTTTACTACAACCATTCTCGACTACAATTATAGGCAAAGTTACCTATCATCGCAGCTGAAGTTTCCATTAATTATTCCGTTTGCTTCTTCTTCAAAATATGCCATCTTTTCAATGTTATTAACAACACAATTATCTATTTACTCTACTTATTTTGTTAATTTCGGCAGCTATAGTTTTCGATACTATTCAGTATAGCACCAGTCCAAAAATAACACGGAGATATCTAATGTCTTTTTTAATATGACGCCTTTGAAATTTTTTTAAATAATAATGGCCATCAAAGCGCAACGAAATTTGTAAAAACACATTCTTATTGTCTTCCGTTAGTAAAAATCGTGTGATTCTATTCAATTTGCACTCTATTCCAGACATATTTCGGGAATAAACCGTTTATATCTAAAGCTGTCTTTTTGTAATCTTATGTGTTATCTAAATTGGTAACTCACAAATGGTACGACTTGTGTGATCGTTTTTAAGTTGCCTTCCTGCCGAACAAGTTATGGCTTATGTTCTGTTCGCTACGGAATCTAAATTTTGCTTCTAAACAATATCAGCTTTAATAAATTACCTTTGAGCTCTTGAGTCTAACAAAACTGGTACAACTTTACCACAACGTTCAATTTTAACTTTTAATGTTATTCACAAAACAGACCTATTACAGTTTATTTGCATCAAGACCACTTGGCCGATTGAAGATCCTGAAGCGATATTGCTCGATGTAGGAACGCCTTTGTTAGATCGTTGCACATAATAGGGAAATCTCTTCTCCGCAAATCACACAGCAAATTTACAATAACTTCGTGGTACCTTTCGTGAGGCAAATGAAAAGGGCTTTGCTCTGCTTAAGAAACTCTTTTCGCTGTTCCGGATTCATTTTTAAAGCAGCAAAACCACAGTGTGGACCAGCGTTATGCAACGTGAGTACTTCGCAAGATTATACGGCTGTGTGCGTCTGGACTTGGGCACGCGACACATGCAAGCCATGCTGCTATGTTTATACGGAGTTACCATGCTTACCTTATTAAACTATGGTAATAATAGGTTGTGGAGCTAATAATAAGATATACTGTAATTCCAGCTACAAGAAACCTCTCTTCACATTCCACTTCGAGTCTTACAAAGTCCAATAGTTTCGAAAGTGGCTTCTCGTTTTGTTTGAAATGCGATCTATTCCTGGCTCTCAGAATATCGTCTATCCGCGCAGATTCTACGAGCGAGTACAAAAATGCCGCGTAATTTTCTTGGACAAGACAGTCGAATTGTAACGCCAATATCTGTGTCATCAATTGGATTCTTGTAGCGAACTGTAGTTGTTAGGTCTAGTCGTTACGTTAAACACAATTGCACAAAATGTGACAGTCAATACTTACAACACGCTCTCGCTAATATAGTTATCAATAATTATGACTTAGTCATCGCTCGTCAGTCATCACATCAAATCGTTGTTCTATCTTTCTTATAATTCTACACGCAAAATTAGACTATAGTACGTCAAGCAACTAAAGACCACTGTCCAGCTCTTCTTTGTCATCATGAATTTTCTGGGATTAGACCACCACGTAATCAAACCTGGTCGTTATATAAAGGAAGGTGAATTTGGTGAAGCGTGATTCGATGCTAATGGGTTCTGTTGACTAAAAACATTTTCTAGACCAGGGGGGTTATTTATGGTAAACAGTTTTTCATCGCTAAAATCCAATTTTCGTTCCGCCGATGCCCTTCATTCATAATTGCGTTTGAAAGTGTCAAAACTGACAATATTAAGATTTCTGAGATTTTATCACACTTTTTAGAATAACACGACGTGTGAAAGATGCAGTTTCCATATTATTTTGTATAAAGCTATCTTTCGTTGCAGTATTTGCTTAATATGTGGCACATAAAAAAATATCATCATTCGGCATTCGACTGACAGAGTTTACGATAGGTTATTAATTGCTCGGTCAATCATAACGGCCACTTCTCTGGTATAGAAATTTAGCATTAAGTTTACATCTATGACTTTGTAAAATACAATCGTTTCGAAGATCCACTTTTCCTTATCCGCAGAAGCTCATGAGTCTTTGGCCTTCTGTCCCATTCCTTCATATTTTGTCTAGTTACGTACCAAATCTTAACGTAGTGGCCCACGACCTCTGAGATTACAATCGTGTCATTATCAACGTAGTAAACCTTCCTAATGTTTCCCTCATTCTTAGAAGAAATCTAATGTAACGGTTTTGTGCTTATGCGCTGAAGCTTGCAACAATTCTTTTGAATACGAATAACAGCAGTCGAATAATGGTTTTTCTCTTTAAATGTGTCACGTTTGCCAGAGGCAACTGAATTTATCTAGAGATATATTTTTACATATTTTTATATATTACTTTTTTTTCATAATATCACTTGATATTATGGGGGGACGAACAAGTCGTGCGCCTGATGGTAAGCTAAAAGTTGCAGTGCCACTCAGAGCTTCAAATCACAAAAATTATTGCCGCAAGGAAACAAGTTACATGATCCTTGGACAAAATCTTGTTTTACAATCACTTTGCTTTTTCAGTGTGACAAAGACTCTATTAATATCGGCGACACTTTCCCAACCTATTTATAATCATCACTAGTTCGTAATAATAAAATAAGATTGAGCTAAAAAACAGTTTTTTAATATATTTCACTGATTTTATTTCTTAACAAAGAACTACATTACGGTTGGCCGAAACATATTCATTATTTTACTAACACAGTTGTGAAATCTATCGTAAAACAATATAATAATATTTTTTTACACTGAGTACCTTAGACAACAGGTATATTAACTATTTTTCTCAAAATATACGTTAATTTATTCTACTTGCTTATTTTAGTCCATATAGTTAGTTATACGCACTTACAGGCTTAAGTGAAATATAGCAGTAACTTGACGTAAAATTAATGACAGATGTTTTCACGGACGACTGGTTGTCCCTGCCAGCTGAGCCCTGAATCATTTACTAAATGATTTTATAATTAAAATACAGTAAATCATGCTAAACAGATAATTAATTTAGTACCATCTGGTACCAGGTGATAAGTTTGTATAGTAATATTTTTTATATTTATCTATAACAAGGTGTTTTATGTTTTCCTGTATTTTTATTCGATTCTCGTTAAGCTTTCTAAAGTTAAAGTTGTGTTTTGAATGTTTCATTTAATTTAATATTCTATTAACGAGTATTTCTTAAAAGAAAGCAATTTCTCTGTAACTCTCTGCGTGTGTTCTATCGTCTTTATAATGGGGAGTGCTCTGAGGAACTTTTGGAACTGGTGCCATCGTATCGTTTCTACCATTGCACCTCCCGCCAAAGGAGTAGTCCATTCGCACATCTTAGATGTCTGGCAAGACATCTCGTCCGTTCCTTCCTCGAATTTGCAAGATGTGGAATGATCTACCTCCTGAAGTATTTCCTTTGCACTATGACAAAATCTGATCTTCAAAAAGCGTGTTTACATGGCTCTCAAAGGCTGGCAACGCATAGGCAGCTCATCTGATGTTGCAAATGTCCATGGGTGACGATACCACCATGACCACCTCCCATCAAATGGCTTCGAATGGAAAAAATCCTTTACATTTGCAACACTATATAACAAATTTGTAACAGGTTTGATGGTGTTGGTTTCTGTTTAATTAAGTAGCAAGTATGTAGAAAAAAGTAGCTAAACTTAGTTTTTCTGGCTGTCAAAGTGATATTCACATGCTGCATATTTACATATTATCATCAATTTGTAGAATTTTAGTTGAAATACACTATTGATTTGAAATTAACGTTCGCTTTTTAACAGACTTCAAGAAAAGGAGGAAAGCCTTAATGCATTTCTTTTTTGTATGTATGTTACGCAATAACTCCAGCGTGTGTGTAAACCGATTTTAATAATTCTTGTTTTGCTGGAAAGAGTACCTCAGTAATGGTCCCATTTAAATTTGAAGAAAACATCCCACCTCTAGGGGTGGCAAACTAGAGGATTAATGATTTTTGTGGTCGGCTTTTTTAGTACTCCGTACTGAGATTATTTTCTTTAAATAAAAAGGAATCTAAAAATCTTGACCACAAAAGCAACCATTTTGCAGGGAAATAACGTTTTGTAATGTTTTTATGTTAGGACCGATTAGAAAACGGCATCGATCAAATATAATAACAAAATTCTTAAAAACCAAAGTCTCATCTCTTCTGATGATCTACGCATATGATATAATAAAACGGTACAATAAAGTTCCGATATTTAAAATCAAATTTTATCGAATTTCAGGGGTCACGGGGACTGCAAAAATCCAGTGTCTTCAATAGAGAGTTGCACAGAAGACTCGAGACTGTTGCTCAATTATCAAGCCTGTCCTGATGTACATGGATCAGAAAGCACCGGTAAGTCCTTTTTTCCTTTTTGTAAAAGCAAACTGTGGTGGCATCTACGCACAATCCGCAAGTTTTAGAGCCTAAGTTTAATGAGCTAAGTTTTAGCTTGTTATTATCGCATTGTGCGACATGAGTACAAGGGTACGTATTTCATTTTTAGTAGCAATTGAGCACCTTGCAAAAGAGTCCGTTCAGGGAAATACCACCTTACCTATTTCAGCTGCCAAGCAATAATGTAAGCATTACTGCGTACCGGTTTTGAAGGGTAAGGGTGACGGGGCACTGGCAGTGTCCCTCCGATCTTTGCGATTTAAAGCTTTTAGTGACACTGGAACTGCTATGGTCAGGCTTGTCGCTTGCCACAAGGCGCACGACCTGTTCGTCCCGTCAGTTGGTATTATAGAAAAAAAAAGATACAGATAGAGCGCAGAAATCTGTATGTATGTCTGGCTAAAATCTAAACCATTATGAATGTCACAAAAATGTTTTGTGCGTAGATTATACCAAGTAGTTCGCCATTTTTTTTATTTATAGTATTCGCAGATGTCATTGACTAGTTGACACCGAGTTTTTTGCACCGACTTTGAAATAGATTAGATTTCAAAACTAAGTATGATTTATTTGCCATAATGAAAATGTTTTTAATATTTTCATAAATAAACGATAATCAATAATAATACGAAAGTGATCGGGGCCAAATTAGGAACAAAATGTTTATTGTATCAATATAATTTTTCCATAATATCTGATTCGAATATGATATCTAATGTTTATGTTTTAACACCATCATAAAAAGCACATCCTGACGATCATTTTGACAGGTAATAATTACAGAAATTAATTAATAATGTCATCTATCACAATTAAAATCTTCATCAAACACTAAACGTCAACAATTCCGCCAAAGTATTTTTTCACATATTTTCTGTTATAGGTAGGCATAATGAATATGTTTTTCTTTATACTAGGATGTCAAGTATTTAACAGTGAATTACTAGTAAAAATTTGGTGTTAATACGTGTGGTAACACCAAAGTTATTTTGTAAAACAGTTCGCCAATCGGGTTCAATTATTTACTAGTAAGTAGCTATGGTTACCAGTGACGTTTGGTCGTAAATGGCGTGTTGGACCTATAGCTACCAGTAAGTGTTTAATGGTCAAGACCAAATTTCGACACACGTATTCTGTCCGATTCATATTATTAACATTAAACACATACAATAAGATACTATGGTATTACTTTTCGATTAATTGTAGATCTGACCTAACCCAGCCATACAGCAATAATTCGTAATTATTTGATTTCTTAAAAACTAAAACAGATGTATAGTGACAAGAGTTTTAAGTGGATAGGTATCAGACAATTCGTGTCGATTATCTATTGTTGTTCAAATTTAGCAAGCTTGCCCGAAATAACTGCTATTAAGGCGAACAAATATATCGTCTGCAAAGGTAAAACCACATAAGTGACATTTTCCGAAACCGACATTTGACAAAAATCTCCAAATTATGTACCAATTGTAAGAAAATCACAATTTTTCTGAGGATAAAACTCTTATTGAGTTTATAGCTTTTTTTGTTATTGAGTTTCACGTGCAAAAAGATAATGATCTTCTTACCATAGCTACATAAATTAAAGATTTTTTTTGTTTGAAATGTCACTTATGCGGTTTTATCTTTAAATAGACGATATGTCTGTAGCAAATAACTGTAGAAAAAAAGTGGTCATTCATTGGATGAATGAGTGTGAAATAGATCGTCCAGGGAAATACTGTCATCATACCTATTACTGCGTTCCGTGGGGTAAGGATGCTAGTGAAACTACAGGGTTCATGACCATCATGTACGTTGGTAATAAATAAATTCAAACTGTTATAAATAAACATCAAAGACGTCTTTAGCGAATGGCTCTCTGAAGAGCAGAGAGTGACCACGGAAGAAAAAAAAATTAAATGCCTTAAGTCTCGATTACTTTCAGAACCACTTTCACCAAACCTCACACATTCTTGTTAATGAATCGTCGTAGTTTCAAATATAAAAAGGAATAAGAAATTCTGGACTCTTAATATAATTTAAACTTTACCCTGTTGGCATATCGTTGATAGTTAAATACCATCAATCTTAGAATAATAACGCATAGAATGATAGTTTCATATCAAACGAACTGTCACAAGTGAGGCAAAAACCAAATTCATGTAGGCGTAAGCAACTTGTAACTACGCTCGTCGGCACGCACACAAATATACAAATAATGATGCCATGGAATAACATTTCCCTCAAAAGTGGGGAAATTGTATCTTGCTTAACTCATCATTAAGTTAAAGGTGCCTACAGATTTGCCCGACATTGTCGATCAGGTGCCTACAGATGTGCTCGGTTTTGTCGATGAAAAACGAATATAGCACTTATTTGTAAATCCAAGATGGCGGGCACGATTTTTCAAAATATGCTATATGGGTATCCTTTTCGAGGTATTTGGGGATGCTCATTACGAATATGGCACTCATTTC